TTACAAAATATGTCATGTATATTCTCACTTGGATTACAAACCCTAACATTCTAATATTAATTCCACAAGTGAAGTGCAAGAATCCAAATTATTAATTTCAAATGCCCCGCCGAGGCTAAGGTTCGAGTGGAAATGCCCAACCCCCGGGATGTGCTTTACAGTAAAATGGCTGGGCGAGGGGGATGGGCACGCTTGGATTTGGCTGATGCATTAAAAGTCCTGTGCTTTATATTCCAGACTGCTTGTCAAATATTTACTTGCTAGAAGTAGAAATTTACTCTGACCGCTGGATGAAGAAGACATTAAATAAGTACTGGTCAATAAACAGAAATGTATTTTATTTCATAGTATTACAATTTTATTTTTATACTATAAAAATAAAATATAAACATGCAGCATAGAATATGCAAATTCGAGGCAAAATTATTGTTGAATCGGTTTATTTATAGGATTTATATAAACAAATAGCAACTATAAAAGTTTGTACCTTGTCTTCACATCGCTTTATTCTGTTAGCCAATGCTTTTAAATTTACATATTTTAGAATCAGTTCCTTTCCTGGTAACTGCATTTCTAAATGAAATCATCGTGAGTAGTGAGTGCTGAGCAGGCTGTTTTACTATAAACAAATTTTAGGAATTGTTAACAACTTTGAAAAATATATCGTTGCACATTCGGTCACAGTCGGAAAAATGTTCATAATATGTTGTACCGTCGTTTGCAACTAACGATGAACAGTCGCTCATAAAAACATTCGCGTGATTAGAATCTTCAATGTTTGTCAAGAACAACAACACTTAATTGTTGTTTCCCATGTGTGCAATAAAAATAAGTAACAAAACTTTGTCTGAACTTGTTGGGCTAGAGACCTACTGGAAACTTTTACAGGCTTTTTAATGAAAATAGAGAATGTTTTATCTGCAACTGTTCACCCTTAGTTGCCACCGACGGTATTTGATAACTGATATAAATAAAATACAGTCTGGTTATACTGACTTGAGCGTGTAATGACAAACTCTTTATTGGAAAATTGTGAAGAAATAGTCGAATATAGAGGGTCAAATATCATACTTAAACTTGTATAGCTACAGTATCATTGGTACATAGCGTTGTGAAGACAAGCCTTTGCTTTAATACCTTTCGCTTCAGCAGTCTTTTTTTCCCATGCTTCTCCACGCTTTCCCAGGCGAGCTTCTCTTTCCTCAGCAGTCTCCTCGAGCAAACGTTGTCGTCTTCGCTGGCTCCCTCCTTTTCGCGAGACGTTCGGCTTTCTTTTCGTTTCCTTGCCGCTCTTCATTTGGCTCCATACAGTAGTCCATATCTTTTCAATTGGCATTTGATACCATAATTGTTTTATTAAACTCTTTATAGAGCAAATTGCTTTGAAAGCTGTCAAAGTTTTTTGCAAACGTACACAATACTGCAGTGCAAAAAGCAAATTATTTTCATGAAGTATCTGTCAGTTGAAGTCGTGATTTGTCATACAACAACAAATTTTAAATTTGACCAATCAGTGTTCACTATCCATGACAGTCCGCCATCTTTTTGAGATCAGTGAGGATGACCACCCACGCACAGTGACCCACGCCCGCGATATTTGATGAACTTTAGACTTGGCTAATGCTTTCGTTTCCCCGGGTGTAAATAGCCGGGGGGAATTAGTACCCTCGCACGGCGCTTCGCGCCGCCGGCTCGGGGATTATGCTTCACGAATCACGAGAGCGGCGCAAATTAGATAGTTATGATAATGTAAAGTTGTGTACGCAATTTAGTTGTTTGCGCAAGAAACATCATGACTCATTGAGTAATGTAAGTAATAAGATAATGCTGAAACGCGAGCCCTTTTGGCAGCCAGGCAAGGAAACCTTAAAATGCATGGTGTACCACTGACATCGACTCACACCGATGTGCAGATGAATTGCTCAACTTTGCAGAATCTTTTCAAAACTTGAAGTACTTGAAGTGTTTAGTGATTTTTGATGAAGACAAAGAAGAAGAGAAAGATTCTGATTTAGACTACGGTTCTGAATCTGAAACCGAAGACCACAAAGAAGAAACCGACAGCGAGTCAAGCGACGACAGAACTGCTGAAGAACCAAAGGACAAGGATAAACCATCATTTCTAGAAGCTCTGAGAATTTTGTTGAATCCTGATTACCACCTAGTTGATGCATTTCCAACTCTTTGTAAAGTTTACGCGATCGCAGTTGCAATTCCAATCAAACCCGCAGCGTTGCTACTTATGACCACTGAACGGAAGATTTTTAAAGTCCAAGGGAAAAGGAGCCTTGGAGATCTGACATCAGAATTGTCGAAGGCGCTTATATGAAAATGTTTAGAAATGCTAGAAATCGACAATCGTTATTGAAACATTAAAGACGGCATTGGAGAACATCGATCGATCGATATGGGCAATATTTGACGTTATCAACATTCGATAGTACTAACTATCAAGTGATATACTGTATAGTATTAACTCTTTTTGTATGTTTTGACAAAAAACATGACAGATTCGTATCAATAAAGTGCAAGCACACTTTTTAGTAAAACATTACAAGTTATTAGTGAGATCGGCGTTTAATATAAATCAAAATATTTTATACAAATATACTCAACGAGTGACTTTATTCCTCCATAATTAATCTAAAATAAAGATTTATAGTAAAACTGATACCGTACTAATTTAAGTACTATTCTACTACAAAACTCCGTAACCAAATTGCAAATTTCGACACGTTATACGGTTATAATCTCGTTTCCTGACCATCAGATTTCTGTCAAATCTTCCCCCAAAGTCCAGGAAATGGCATTTCAGAGACTCTAAATTTAAAAATTTTCCGTGGTGGCATGCCCCCGGACCCCCCTAGGAACACCTCGCACCTGCGGCGCTCGGCTCGTGCCTTCGGCCCTCGATTATCAAGCGTTACTTTATAGGGGCGCATATTGGTTGATAGCTCACTGGCCCCCAGAAAAATAGTACCCAGCACGCCACTGGAGTTGTATTTGAGTAAAATGTAAACAATAACAAAAGCCCGCAATGCATGACCTCAAGGGCGTAGCGTGCGGGAGGGGGGGGGGGGTTGCGGGGGGTGTGACACCCCCCAGTTTTAGTGAGGTAGTCGGTAAAACGCGAAGTTACTCGGTAATGGCAAGAGCCATGACAGCGGTTGGTAAAACAAATCGGTTAAAGTGGAATTGTGCTCCTCGGTAAATGGCTTTTAATAATCAATAAAATTAAATGAATGTTGTGCCTTGTTCTCCAATAAAGTTATGCAAAATGTACGTAATTCTTCAGTAATCACTTATATTAAATATCTACGCATAAGCATTGCAGCCCCTAATTTCCTATCGTATTACACTTGCAAGAGCTGCGAAAACAGTCGGTTATGATTGCATGACATGTTCAACTGTGCGCGAACTTTTGACCTTGATACAATGATACGCCAGAGAATTAAAGATTATATTTATAATATATATTTATTATTGACACGCGGTGCTCATAAAATGTTTCGCCAATTTTTCAAGTCTGTTTATTACAATAAACAACAAGATAAATGTCATTGAGCAAAATGACTTAACAAAGCTGCGAAGTAACACTAACAAAGACAACAATTATTCCAATTAATAAAGCGTTTGTTGCGTTTCTGGTGTTACGTTATTTCTAGACGGCAGACTAAAGTCTCGGTAAGTGTCATTAAATTAAACGCGCGCCGAAATATTTATTTGTCAATTGCTGATAGCTGTTATGGACCATGGTATATGTTATATGTAGCGTATAAGGGGCGGTCACGGATTCTACTAAAACCTCACGGTGAGCTCACACTCGCAGCTTGTTAATATCTCACGGATTCTCACGGATTTTGCAAATAACACAACTGGTTCTTAAATATGTTGGCTTTGTTGCACATTTTAACTATTAAGAGTGACTTCATTAAGTTTATTTGCATCAAATTACATAAAACTTTTTCCTTCTGAAATACATAATCAAAACATCGCTACATGCAACCTCGTGGGTATTCAACAATATGGTTTTGTTTAATATAAATAAAAGCTACCAAAACTTGTGTGTATAAGGTACAGAAGACTCTAAAAATGCCATTTCCAACGATCTAGGGACTCCATATTTTCAAAAAATTTTCGCTCGGCGCCAACCATGGTGGCGCCTCGTGGCACGTGGTCCCCCAAAACAAAATCTCACGCATGTTTTTCGCCAAAGTTGGCTTCTTTTGGATAATGCATGCAGCATGTACTGATCCACATTATATTCCCATGTTTTCCTGGACGAATTTGTTTCTTGCTATTCTTACGCTCAATAACATAGCACAAAACATGAGTAAGTAGATGACATCATTGAAAATAAGGCCATTGGATAAAACAGATTCTTTCGCTTCAAGTGCCACGTGGTCGTCGGTAAAACTTAGATGTTACACCCCCAGTTAAAAAGGCCACGCTACGCCCCTGCATGACCTTGACACTAATCCGCTAAATATGTATAACCAGATCGCTTTACCCGACATTAAAAGTCACAGTTTAATGTTTTATTTATAGAGTAAATAAAAAGTCGCTCTGGACAGCTGCATTGTCTTGGTCTTAAGTAAAATCATTACTATATAGGAGGATGCTTATTTGATACTAACAAACTTACAGTTACATGCAGCCTTACAAATTAAAACAATAATCAATCTATAAACAAAATATCAACATAATAACTTATGAGTTATGTCTTATTACTGCCATGCATCTACCTCCTCCGCAGGCATTTCCAAAAATATAAAATTGGTGGGAAACGAACGGAGAGGCATGCGGACTAATTTTCCAAGATGGCGGAAGCCACAAGTGAAATTATATTTATATATCATTTTACCAGCAGAACAATAAATTACTAGACGTTACTATCGCAAGGAAAATGCTGCCTCATCCACATTGGATCAAAGGCAGCATGCACAATTCGCTGAATAAGTGGCTGTTTATATGATCTCGCTTTGCGAGAACGAGATATGAGGCGGGGCGAATTCGATGTATTTCTGAATCAATAAGTCATGGTCTACAACTTACAACATTTGAGTACTGTTAATCAGCATTCGAACTTTCATTTGACCTGGTGATGGAAATGCATAAAAATCATCCCACTCTCCATCATGTAAACAGCCCCTACGATGCCGGCCTGTTCAGAATGTAGGAAAGGTGCATTTTGAATACCAAAACACCTTCCACATTGTCGAAAGTCAGTTAACTATTCTTTAATAACAATTTCACATGGCACCTTGGCTATGGCAGAACAAAATGAAGGGGGAGACAAAATCTATTTGTTGACATTTTTGTTTAATACGTCTGCGTCATATGATACCGTTCATTTGTAATGATTAAGATTGCACTCAGTCATAACTGCAAAACTACATAACAGTATAAGAAAGAAATTGTGAGCACTATCGAAAAATATAGTATACCCTGAAATGCAGTGACACATGCATGCAGGCACACAGCCAGATGAATTATTCGTAAATATATGAATGTAGGCCGATAGGATTATTTCATATTGTGCTAACAAGGGACATATCTCAGAGATATATTTTTACAGACCGTCATACCTTGTTCAAAAGACGGTTGACGTGTTATACATGTAACTGCTGGTAAGCCATAGTTAATATGTGCAGACAACAATCCACACTGGGTTAAACTGCATGGGTTGCTATAGGGCTATAGGGTTGCTATAGGACCATTATAAGGCATACACAATATTCCGCGTTTGTTTTTAAAACGTGCTGAAAGCACATTGCTATGCCTATGAACATCTACAGGGTGTATAAAAACAAACTGAACAGATGTGAAATTGCTCTTAATTTCGCAAAACAGCTACTAGTATCCAGTTTTTGATATACATAGCTTCTTTGGGTACTTATAATGTAGAAAAATGAAAAACATTTCTTTAAGTCAAATTTTGTGAACCAGGGGGGGGGGGTGTCTTTTCCAACAAACTAAAAATGGCTTGCGCACGAAATTTAAAATCATTTATCATATTTTAAATTAATAGATGGAAAATTTGTTGAGTGTTTAATTACTGTACAAAATGTCAGACAATTTGCTTAAGTTTAAGCCCTTTACCTATTCACGGAAACTTACATTTTTCAGTTAAAAATCAGCTATTATATTTGCATGCTAATTAATGCCTTTGCCTAATTTGCATATGTCAGCTATATGCAAATTAGGTAAACGCATTAATTAAGCATGCGAAAGGCTAATTTATTAGAGAAAAATGGATAGTTAAAGGACTTAAACTAAAGCAAATTGTCTGAAATTTTGTACAGTAATTAAAAACCCAACAAATGTTCCATCTATCAACTCAAAATATGATCAAAGTTTTAAAATTTCGTGCGCAAGCCATTTTTCATTTTGCAAAAGACGCCCCCCCCCCCCTGGTTCACAAAATTTGAGTTCGAGAAATTTTTTTTATTATTCTACATTATAAGTACCCAAAGAAACTATATATATCAAAAACTGGATACCAACAGCTGTTTTGCGAAATTGAGAGTTTTTGCTCAGTTTTCTTTATACACCCTGTAGAATGAACACTATAAACTCATCGCCTTAATTGGCACATTGCCACACAATTGACACAAACAAATATTAAAACCAAAAGTACATTTTGACTCCTTGTACAGTATATAAATTAGAGAGTTTAAGTTCGACTTCCGTTACCAATACCAATACTAACAACAGGTCATGCGCATGCGCTCTTCTCGCAAGAAGCACGAGGACAAGTGTATTGGAAGTCACCACTTCTGAAGTCGGCCTTGTATTTGGAAGTCGTGGGAATTGTAAGATAAACTCATATAAATCGAATATTTCATAATTTTTTCGATAAACAGGTGAACTATTTGTTTGTTAGTATCGCTTGAGTCATGTTTTAGTAGGAATTTTAGCTTAGCTGCCGTTTAGTATGCCGCACATTTTCAGGTGACAATTAATGTATTCTATATTTTATCTGTCGTGATAACTTAACGCTTTAAAATTCCCGGTACCAAAATGAGAACGGAAGTGCAGACATCGATATCGGTATTGGTATCGGAAGTCGAACTTAATTAAACTCTCTAATATTAAGACGATCTGCCGATAAATTGGCGAAATTACCATAATGATTATTGTTTCAAATACCTCATATTGAACAATTTAACAGCTGATCTAAATATAAATGCCTTCATGTTATATCACCAGAAAGAAATAAAGTTATCCTTAATTACCTGAATTATACAAAATATTGTCCATTTGTGAAAATCATGCGAGTGCAATACAAAATAAATTTTGACCGCCCCCCCTCGTTTAAAAAACGTCCTGAAGCCTTAATTATTTCCCCGGAATTACGACATATTTACATACATACATACATGCAGATAGACACTGAGGACACAAATCGAAATCTCTATCGACTATACATAACTCGGCCAAAGAGACTGGACACAATTAAACGCAGGCACGCAATACTTCATGTCCAGAATAGTGTGCTGCCTTCGGCAGCAATTAAAGCCTTTAACTACTTCTGATATAGACCGCTTTTCGTATTCACAATATACATAAGAACAGTGAATACTGAACAAACAAGCATACATGCATTGATTTATAAAGAGAAACAAATCATTAATATCAGTTAATTTGCATATTAAATTCTAAAACAGACAAACGCGCTTTTATATAACACGTCGTATGTCAGGCCATAGCCTGTCGAAGGGAAGATGGCTGTGAAACTCATTAGAATAACAATATAAATCATTATCTATGTTAGTCAACGTTTATTCATAAATCTGGTCGTTTCACCGTCACATGTGTATTGTATTTTTACCAAATCCACCAATATCAATTTCCAGTTTCCCTATTGTTCGAGTCACGGATAGGTAACTTTCCTAAAACATTGCTATTGGTTTGTTGGGCAAGAATACAATACACACGTGACGGCGAAGGACCAGATTTATGAATAAACGTTGACCAACATAGATAATGAGTTATATTGTTATTCTAATGAGTTTCACAGCTATCTTCCCTTCGATAGGCTATGGTTATTAGTTATTATTATATACACAAGGTCTGGATATGAGGTATTCTGGAATCTGATTGGTTTTCTACTAGCAGGATAATAGCTCATATCCTGCTAGTAGCGAAAAACAAAATGGCGGCTGAAACTGAATTTCCGACGTTTGCAAATGAGAAAATGGCAAGTTGTTCGCTTTTTATATCCTTTACAAGATTAAAAACACAATGAAAAAACTCCCACAAATTGTCTACAGGTCAGCAAATAAATTTTTAAAATTTAAAATGGTTAAAAATATATATTTTTGAGAAAAAAAATCGGCCAAAAGAGCGAAGATAAAAAACATAAAAAAATAGAAAAATATTGAAAATATCCGAAAAGCAAAGTCTGTGTATTCAAAGTACTCGAGTTCGTGGAATAACTGTTAATTATTCGCGGATAGTATATGGTTATTATTATTGTCATTCAGTAGCTCTCAAGCTATGGCACAGCGAAGGGAAACTCCAAAGATGATTTATCCGAAATCCGCTTTGTTTTCGGAATGCAAGTGTCGCCTTTGTGGTGGTATTTTGTCGACAAGAGGTATTGCAAAAACCTATTGCTGAAAGCGAAATAAAAACTTGCTTCGTATCGCAGAAATTGTAAATTGTGGTGTGATGACAGACTTTTGAATCTTCCTAAATTAACATTAAATGAATAGAATGGGGGAATAAACACCCAAGTCAATCGAATGGTTAAGTAGAGAGACTAGAGGGATTGCAGAAATGATAAACAACTTCGACAAAGCTCTTGGAATTAAGTCGAGAAGGCATCCTCTCACTATCCTGCAAAGCAGGCGTTTTGGTTAGGGGATTTGGCTAAGGAAACGCCTGCAGCCTTGTCCAGCAGAAAAAAATAATGCGTTCGCCAGCAAACGCAGCATTCTGATTGGTTCACGATAATTAGCACTATCTCTTTACTTCCGGTAAAGGTTTTGTTTATGCGTGTCCACATTGGAAGATTTAAGGCCTCAGCAAAGACTGCCAAAGAAACGCTTTACATCAATTGATTTTGGGAGGTGATTTGTTGGTTGTTTTACCGACTGGCTTCCGCGGAAAAAGTCTGATCTTTCAGCTGTTTGTATAAAATATAAACGAGATAATTACTATTAAAGCGCAAACAATATATGCAATTGTTGTATGTCCTCTCGAAAGTATAATCGGCGATCAGATAGAGGAGGCCTCGAGCATTGGCTTGACCGCCAAATCGCTGAAATATATTACGTCTTCAGATGACTAAACGGTAAACTTCCAGCTGTTTTTTGGATCATGCAGCCGAGGACGTAGTTTGCAAACGGTTTTTGGCTGCAATGAAAAAGCAAAACACGCCACTGTATGAAAACCTGGCCGCAGTAATTGAATTTTTTACCAATTCAAATAGTTGGCTCAAATTCCTGATTTTTCTAAAGCAAAGATCACAATGTCTCTCGGAATATATCTGAGGGTCACGATGTAATTTAATATTGACACCCGCACATAATACACAGATCGCATAACTTGGTCCCAATACGACTCCCGCTCGTTTTGAACTCTTGAAAAGGTTTTCTGTATCGAGATCCTGCTGCAACTGGTTCCAAATTTAGTTTTCAAGGAACACTTACGCACTCTACAAATATCGTTTGGAAGCGCCACATAAATTGTTTTATTGTAGCTTTTCTTTTGTTTTGCATTTTGTTTATTTGTTCAGTATAGGCTTTGTTACATGTTTATATCGAAAGTGGAAAAACGCTTCCGACCTATTTTTAAGTCGAATGTTATTAGTTTATAGTTAATTAGACCATGAATAAAGAGGTTATTTTTTCTGCTCAGCATGCACTGCAGGCGTTTCCTTAGCCAAAGCCCCTAACCAAAACGCCTGCTCTGCAGGCTCTCCTCTCACAAGCACAAATCTTCAGAGAAAGATGAAAATATTTTATCTGATCTCTTGGAATTGAAACTATTTACAAGCATCAATGATTATTTTCATGTAGGTTTCACAAATATATCATCAGACACATTAGCAACATTAGACAATGCGGCATTTCATGACTAGCTGAACAAACACAAGAGGAACATTCACCAAACACTATACGGGTGGACACATCAGAAAATGAAGAGGAATTATGACTGTGAATACTGTAACACTTGAACAACAATAATTTGTATGGCTGTAGCACAGGCTAGACCACCCTGGCTTGAAAGGATTAGATGCACAATTTTCACTTGTCCTATTATAATATACACCTATTCCAATTAAGGTTAGTGTCACAGACAATAGGTAAATGCACAATGGAACGCTAAAAACGATCTTATTTTAACACATCAATAGCCTCATGGGAATACAAATTAAACTGGAAATACATGCATGCAACAACCCCTCGCCTATATTTTCCAAACATTGTTTCAACATGAAGCATTCGTAATTACGCCAACACTGAACGCAGGCTCGCGTTGCTACGTCATGTTCGTCATGGCAACACGATAATTGTTTTTTTAATTTTTTGTACAAACCTGCATAAAATAGTTGATATTTGAACACTTTTAAATACAGAACTATCAATTCTAAAATGTATAAAGTAGGTAGTATTATTTTGGTTTCTATGGGCTTTATTTAAATGTAAAATTCTAAACGAAACTGTACGTAATACGTTTTTAAATGTGAATTGAAATTAACTGCTTTCTGCTGATATTTACATACTCCTCAACTCGAGCTTCAACTTATTACTCGCACTTTGAAATGAAATAAATTTAATTCGTACAGGACGCAAATGAAAATAATTTGCTTTCCTTTTTATCATGAACTTTTACAAAGGTTAATTTAACTAAGAAACGTTCGCAAACAATGCATAGGAAAGACTTGAACATGAAGAACAAAGTCTATATAAATATACAAAGCGGTCATAAAATAAATAATTGAAACAAACTTCCCATATTCTTTAGGATTTCGCATACTAAATCAATTCTTATAAATGTTTTACAATTATAATGGTAAAAAAGTTTTACAAAGTCGTTATGCGAAACGATTTTCCAAGCTTTCTGACATACAGCGTACGGTGGCGTATGCTGGCATACGGCGAGACAGAAATTTTTTTTTAAGCATGCTCAAAAATTTTGTGCGTACCGGACGTATGGTTTATACGATAAGCATACTCTAGGCACACGCTGAATACGGTCAGATGTACGGTACTCATACGCTGGCATTTCAAAGGATTTTTGTGCGTATGAAAATTATTTCATTAACTTTCATACGTTTCTCATACGTTTTTCTCATACGCAATAGTGTGACAGGGCCTTAAAAGACCCTGGCTTGCGAGGTTGATTGATGACTCAGTAATGGCGGCCGAAAAATTTGCATGTTTGCGTTGAAAAAAAGGCAGAAAAAAATGGAATTGGACGCTGATATTTGGTAACGTTGTTTATCTACTGATATACTTTCTGAATTTACAATAAAAAGACAGCACAATTTTCCATCGCAGTGGCACTTTAAACTTATAAAAAGGTTTTTATTTTGAAGCAAATTTTGAAAAATGTTGTCATCAATATTAATTCCAAACCGGATATTTGATTCAAAAGAAAAGGGACTATACTGGGAAGGCATGTGTCAAGTTTTACCATCTCAATTTGGATAGCCTTTTACTTTTCGGTATAATATATGATTTATAGATCCTCTAGGAGGATTCAGCGAAATATTACCCCCAGTAATGATATTTCTATCAACTATCATCACTACGGGTAATAGTTTCGCCGAATCACCCTCGCTCCAGGTCTATAAATGATAATCGTTGCATCGATCGCCATCAATCCGAAACTTTCTTATTATTGGCAGTACCAACACTGGCGCAGACCGTTCAAAACTCTATCAGATCTGCCTAAACTTCCAGTAAGGACCGGCCACTCTACGTATATTAATCCAATATTAATACTATAGGCTACACAAGGAAGCCTGAATTCAATTAAACCTACACAAGCTGTTGTAAATAGCACTCAACAGTTTAGAAACGTTTTAACGTTTTAATTGATAACATTATATTGGGTTAGCTGTGTTCTTATTAATAACCGCGTTGTTTATCGCGGGCTCAGGTTTTGTACGTTCGTGTTACGTTCACGTTTGTGTGCTCGAGGTGTAAATATAAAGTTTATATTGTTTTCCGAAGATTTATATTAAAATTATAAATTAAATTGAACACAAGACACCTCTATTAGTTCTGTCCAAATTGAACAAAAATACTACCACCGCAATTGGTACAGTAATACAGAACAGAATACAAGAGAGTCCCACTTCCGCTAGCGTGGTGTGTTTAATGGAATTTGTTGTCGACTATACAACTGTCTGGGATGCGATGTTTTTGTTTTTTTCAAATTGTTTTCTATATTAAAATAAAATAAAAAGAACATTTACATTGATGACCCGAAGATGGCTGAATTTATGAGAAACGGATGATACTGCCAGGCAGACATTGAATAATGGTAATATGCTCTTGTGAAATTTGGGTGAAGAAAACACAAAAGAAATCATGAGGGTGAAAGTTGTTCCTACAAGTCTGATACAGTCGGTCATGATATAACAATATTGTAGTGTTACAACCTTGTGTCGTCAACTCTGTAACATTCTTGTTATATGCTAACTGTGTCAGGCGTGTTAGAACAACCTTGTAACTAGGTTGATAATGCCATCAAGCTTGTTACAAGTTGTTAACAAGCTTGTTCCAAACTTGCTACAACAACTAGGAACAAGCAGTGCAAACATAACTTCTCGACAGATTTTGAACAGATTTGTAACAACTTGTTTGCAGATATGTAACAACATGTGCATGCGTTTTTACGTGACACTTAAACAAACTTGCGTGTATAGACGTAGTTCCAAGGCATTTTTTAATACCATGGAGTAGTGGGGCATTTGCCCCACTGGGCCCCTTCCTCTGTCTCACCACTGAAGAAAAAAAATGGCCTATTGCCCCAAAGCCAGGGCCCTAGGACCTGCATTGAGTAAACGAGTTTCACATTGAAAAGACGTTTAAAAAACAAAATTTGTTAGTGAACATACTTAAACTTATGTTGTGTTTGAATGTTTAGCATGCAATTTATTACAAATTTGACCATTAGAACTTTGTTTTGAAAAGCTGAGATTTTTAAAAAAATGTGTTCTCAGAATGCAGAAAATGCTATTTCAGAGACCCACATTTTAAAAATTTCCTGGGAGGGCATGCCCCCAGACTCCCGTAGCTAACTTTTGCCTGCGGT